GGCAGTACCCAACTTAAACTCTACAAGCTCCACTTGCTCAAGATGTCTTATGGGCACAACGTAGGTTCCATGTTTGAGGTGCCACGTGGCCGAGTGACCCATGAGGAAATGCATGCTGTGTGTCGGGCTACCAAAGCACCCATGCCTGATGTTCCAGTGCATCCTCACCCAAACCATAATATCGTTCGTGTTCCAAAAGCATACGGTTACCAAAGCATCCATGCCCAATCAGACCGTTCGTCTGCCAATGCATCGGATTGCAAAAAAAAACAGTAGGCGCGGCATCTTTTCTATTTAGGCAGAAGAACCCACTGGGCGCCGCGTTTTCCCAATTGTACAACATTTCTCGAGCGTGACAGCATGCCACCTCCCTTTCAATTTCGTGCGTTCGGATCCTCAAAGCAAGTATCCGTTCGGTGGTTTTTGGGCATGCCCCGGTGTAGGCCTCCAGCAACCATATGCCGGAAGCCGACGCCAAAACACGTTTTGACCTTCAAATCTATGCGCGTTGCTCTTTCTTAACGTGCAAATAAACAGGGGTCATTCAAACACGTCTTATTATGTTTCAACATGTTTTTCCCCTATGGTCCTTCCTGTAAAGCTGTAAAGGGTCACAAGAAAATTTTCGAACAACCCCCGCATGCTGAACCTGCATCTGTGTACCCTTGTAGGGGTCCCAATAGTAAGGATTATACTATATTGGGATCTCAATTAAGGTATGTGCCCTGGGAAACATGCGAGGTGCAGCTAAAGGAAGGCGAGACGACGAGCGTGTACAAGCAAAGGCCTTGTCGACCAGACGCCCTAAACCCTTTAACCCTTAAACCCTACACCTTTAAACACTTAAACACGGAAACCCTAAACCCTTAAACCCTTAACGGTGTAAAGTAGTGTTTTTCATGGGGCTCTAGAAGTCTAGTAGTAATACACGTATTCCTACGGTATAGGCTTGTTTTTTGCAAAGAGCAATTTCTTTCGGTCCAAGCAATCACAAAAGGCCACTAGACTTGAGGCTTTAAGTTCAGAGTGTGCAAGGTTGTTCAGTTTTTGGGGGCCGCAAGGTTCTTGGTTTGGATTTTGTGCTCAAAGATAACCTAGGGTCTAGGTCTGGAGTTCGGAAGTTTAAGGGGTTACTTGGAGGGTTCAGGGGGACATAGTAAGTAGGTTAATAAGGGGTTATAGGGGTTATTACGCTACTTACTAAGTCCCCCTGACCCTCCAAGTAGGCTATGTTCAAAGACAACCTAGCGTCTAGGTTTTTGAGTTAGGTAGTTAAAGGGATTTAGCGGCTCTGTTTGGGGTTTGGGGCCTCTGGGTTGTTGAAGAAGGTCCGCTCAGCGTCGGCTTGGACTTTTTGAGGGGTTCTCCCAGGTGGTCTCCTGTACCAGGTTTAGGTTAGGTGAGGCTCCCCAATTCGTAGTAGTGATACATCATTAGGAAGCCTTTTAGGGGTATAAGTGTCCCAACTAAGTTTCCCCGACCCTGCAAGTAGATTCCGCACACATACTTATGCAGGAGGTATACGAAGATCTTGTGCGCTCTGGAGTCAGTGTTTAGGGTTCATGTCTGCAAGGCCTTATTTAAAGTCCTGAACTGAGACCCCAAACCCTGAGCCCTAAACCCTAGAAAGCCCTTTTCTAGATCTCAGGGCGAACCTGTGGGTGTCGGTTTTTGGGTTTTGTGAGTCTGTGGATTCTGTGTGGGGCAAGGTTGCAAAAGGGTTTTATAGGGGAACCCCAATCACCCCAAATTGGGACCATGGCTATCATAGGACTCTAATCCGTTCCTCAACCCTAAGCCGTTGGAGGTTGGACTTACCAGCATCCTCAAAGTAAAGGAGTGTGGGGGGTTGTGGGAGGCTCTAGTTTTCAGCAGTTGTCGTGCCTTGGCTTTGCATAATGCGGAAGCCAGCATAAATGCCAGTACTATGCCCGGTTAATCCTATACCCCTAAACACGTTTAAACCTCAAACCCAACCTAGACCCCGCAAGTACCCTCTACAGACGCTAAGTATCCACAAATAGAAGCTACGTAGGTCCTATTTTAGGGTACTTGGGGGGTCTAGGAATACTATACCCCCAGCCTTAAGCAGCCAAATCCCAAGCCCCGCGCATGCACCCCAAGAAGTTTAAGATTCTGCAAGTGGTCCACCAACCCTGAACCCTATAAAGGGCTTCAACGGGCCACATATAGGGGCATGTAGGGATGTAGCAAGTGCAGGGTTCATATACCAAAGACAAAGGTCGATTTGGGAGATTTTTAGTGTGTCCCTTCCCATGCTGCCTCGAGGGTTGGGGGGACTAAGTAAGTATACCTATAACCCCTATAAGCCATATGATAACCACAGTCATCCTCTTTATTAAGCTGCGTAGTAAGTAGCCCTGACCCTCCAAGTGCAAGTCCCTGACGAAGGCTTCCAAAGATCAAGATGATGGAGATCTTTGCATCCCGACTGCTGGACCCTGCTGGTTGTCACTGGATAAATGGGACTTGCTCTTTCTGCCGGCCATGTGGTAGTTTCCATGAACAGCAGGACCCCATTTTGGACCCATATATTGGAGTTCCCATTTTAAGTTCCCCCGCCAAAAGGCCGCTAATTTTTCAAACCTCCGCGTACATGTTGTGGCACGCACATGCCAAAACTCAAGCCAATAAAGTGCAAAACTCCACGCCAGTTCTGGTGATTGTTTCATGGGTTCCTCTCTACTCCCTGCATAAAACAGGCCTTGAGGCCCAGACCCTAAATCCCACCCAGACCCCCTAAAGGATCCAAAAAATGGAACCCCCTAATACTCCCCTAGTTTCCCCAATGTAGCAATGGGTTCATATTGGGGGGGGCGGGTCCATTTTTTGGATCCTTTAACCGTAAACCCCTAAGCCCCTAAAACCCAATTTTTTTGGATCTCCTAAACCCTAAACCCTAAGATCCTTTAGAGCATCTGGGCAAAAGGACTACAAGCTGACTGTTCCTACGCCCTTCCAGCCGCTAAGCCAGCAAAGACGGATGGTGCAAGGGTTTAGGGTTTAGGCAAAAGGGTGTTTAAGGGGGATTTAGGGTTTAGGGTTAAGGGTGTTTAAGGGGATTCAGGGTTTAGGGTTAAGGGTTTTCAAGGGGATTTAGGGTTTAGGGTTAAGGGTGTTGAAGGGATTTAGGTTTTAGGGTATAGGGTGCTTGGTATAGGGTGCTTAAGGAATTTAGGGTTTAGGTTATAGGGTGTTTAAGGGATCTAGGGTTCAGGGTTTAGGCTGGAAAGAAATTTGTGGGGTCCTTTTCCGCGGGGCCCCATAAATGGGTTATAGTATATCAAGGCCTGTATTGGGTGTTCCTCTTTAGGGGAACCACAAGATTTTGGGGCCAAGGATTTTGAGTTCGGGGTTCCGGGCTTAGGAGCTTTTAGGGCTTTAGGGTTTAGGGTATACAGTTTAGTTTGTGGAGTACAGGGTCTGAGGAAAGCATTTCGCATTTCCTGTTTCGGAGAATCATCTACTTGAGGGTGACCACTGGCTAACGGTGAGCATATGGGCGGTCAGGTGACGTATCTGGATGGGTGTAATGACGAAACTTCACGTCCTGTACTTCAGGTGTCGCAGTTATTCTTCTCCCTTTTGGGGTTGATCCATTCCGCCTCACTTTCACCATTGCCAAGCCCCAATATGCATAGTTCTAGAAGGACCCCAAGCGCCTGAACCCTCTTCTTCGTGACAAGCGCAGACAAGAAATGGGTAGGATTTCAAACGGCAACCATCTCAGTGCCCCAATATAGAGTAATACACTACCTTAGCTTTGTGTACAATCCCTAAGGGTCCAAGGACCCAAATACCAGGGCTTTAAGGCCTAAATACTATAATATTCATGGTATTTGGGCCCTAAAACCCTATTATTTGGGTCCTTGGACCCTTAGGGAATATTCTACCCGAAGAAGAAGAGTAGCCTGCTACGTTCTCAGCCACAAGGGATGCTCACATAAGCCCATATGAGCTATAGTCTAAACTCCTTTAAGGGAGTTATGTAGGGGATTATATAGGGGACTACTATAGGGATTATTAAGGGGGATACTAGGAGTTTAGACAGTAGCCCATATATCGCCCCGCTAACTAAACGGAACTCAAGACTTTGAAACATATTAAACCTGAAGCCCTGACACCGTGATCCCCACACCCTGAGCCCTATATACCTGACATGACCCGCGCGGGCTCTTAGGCTGGTGCAGCACATGACCATGGAGATATGCCGCAGCGTGCAGAACACGAAGATGAAGGAAGAACATTATACCCTAAGTCTTCAAATCCCTAAGCTGGCAGGCCCAATTACGTGGCCAGCGCAGCGCTTTGCTGCGACTGGAAGGTTATAGTCAGTAGCCCCGGTAAAGATTGTCAGGTATTTTGAAGGATACAAAATCTCCCGAGGCACTGTTGCCTCAGGAAGCGCTCCAGCATCAACATTAGTGCGTTCATGCTCCTGTCCTGTTCCCATGACAAAGTGAGAGAACCAATTGTAGCTCATTTTCCGTGCTGTTCCAATCCGTTCAGGGTCACCATCTGTCATGATTCATGGTGTTCGCTTGGAGTTTCAGCCCATCTTATTACTCCTACAATTTACGATTGCAATTAAAGACCATTATTACGACCATTACTATTATTACTAGTAGTACTACTGCTAGTCTTGCTACTACTAGTATTATATAGGTTGGTAGTGTAGACCCATGATTAATAAACCCCCTCTTTTTAAGGGCCCAAATATTAGGATCCCCATTATAATCCCTGTTAAGGGGAGGGGGTTTATGAATCAGGGGTCTACATTAGAAGGTTCTCTTCAGTCCGGGTGTCGGGGCCCTAGAAGATCTAGACCTTCCCCTTGGGATCAAACCGCAGACTCCTCAGCTCCGAGGCCGCCTTAACGAGGGTCCCTTGCTTTTAGGGTTTAGGGTTTAGGGTCCCTTGCTTTTAGGGTTTAGGGTTTGAAATTTCTGCAACAGCTGTTGTCAGGAGAGGAGGGGGCCCTAGAGATTAAAGGAGGTGCAACGCTAGTTTAAAGTTTCCAGTGTTGCAATCACACAGAACACCGTCTCTTCTCTGCTTCGCTCCTGGCGCAACCACCACAGAAGCTCCACTGCAGAAGGTCTGGTTCTGCGATCATACTTCAGGAATTCTTCACAGCCAGGTGCCTCTCAGCCTCTCCAAGATGTAATATAGGGGCCTAAATATGCCTATATAATATTATATAATTACCATTACTATGGTTCCATATTCCTTGTATAATTAGAGTATTTGGTACCTCAATGGACCTCAAGACTATATTGGCAATTATTTAGGCCCCTACATTAAGCAACCTGTGCCCCTGCCAGCCGAGTTTTGGAGTTTGCTTTAAAGTTTTTTTGCCAACGTGTACGCAATGAGCTGAATGACGGAATGAGGAAAGGAATTGCAAACTACCAGAATGGTTGCCCGTTGTGGACCCGCCTAGCCCTACATTCCTCACCCCCGAACCCTAAACACCCTAATCTCCTGAAACTCCCACAAACCGAACTCTCAAACTTGGACGCTGAACTCCCAATGTTCAACCCAAATCTTCGTACACCTTTCACTCTACCCAAAGGAGCTGAAGTATCTCTATGCTCAATTTCAAGTTAGGTTTCTATGTCAAGAGCTAGTAATATGGGGTCGGATTCAGGATAGTATTCCCCCAAGGTGTACCTAGGGGCCTTGGGGTGAAGCTTCAAATCCCAACGTGCTGCCTCTCGAAGATTCTCGAAGCCAATAGCTCTAAATCGAAATCTTAAAACCCTAAAGCCTAAACCCCTAAACGCTAAACCCTAAAGGCCTAAACCTTAAATCCTTAGCTCGAAGTCCCTAATTCCTAAATCCTAAGGTGTGAACCTAAACCCCTAACCCTGAACCCTACTCCTGAACGCGACCCTAATCCGTGCGGGGCAGGAATGGCCTGGCTGGGACGCCAAGCATCGGGATACGACTGGGGTGTTCAGGTCATACGGTTTAGAATATAGGGATTAGGGTTTAGGGTTCGAGATTTAGGGTTTAGGGTTTGTTGTGATGTTGCCGTGCAGGATGTGATGTTTAGGTGTCAATGATCCTTCAAGTGCATGGCTGCATGTGAGGTGCTGCCGTGACCTGACTGTAGAATGCCATCTAACACAATCACCCACCCCACGCCGTCTGAGGTGGCCCAACCTTTTGGGGTTTAGTCCCTAAACTCAGTTAGGTCTATCTTGGCCAACAACACCTCTTCATGTTGATGCTAGGCTGTCTTTAAACATTTCTAGAGCCAAGAGCTGTGAGGGATGTCTGCTTTCAGATTTGAGAGGCCTTGGAAGGTTTGGGAGGCCCTGGAATTCTGGGAAACTTGGAAGCAAGCCTTGGAAGGAGGGCCTGGAAGGGAGCTTGGAGGAGTTGATCTATCTTTTGGAAGGCCCTGGAGTTTTGGGGAGCCTGGAAGGAAGCCCGAGTGGGAGGCCTGGCTGGAGGCAAGGCTGGGAGGCCGGAGTTTCTGCGATGCTGTGATCTTCAGCTTTGGGGAGGTTTTGAAAGGTTTTGAAAAAGGCCCGGGAGGGCCTGGCCCTGCAACTGAAGGGAGGCCCTGGGAAGGTTTTTGGGGGCCTTGGTCCCGACATTCGCTTGCAGGAGGCCCTGGACCCCCCAGAAAAAAACCAGGCGGAGATCAAGGCTTTTAGGATTTTAGACCTTGGGAGTGGAGTTGTCTTTCAAGGCTTTTGTTTTTTGGCGTATAGGCTCCAGTTTGCTTGAGTCAAGGGTGGTAAACCCGCTAGGTAGGTTCAAGGGCCCACTTGCCCATCGCTATGGACCTGGTTAAGGGTTCAAGGTTTAGGGTTCAAGGTGACCCACTACCTTACTTTCTTGAAGGAAAATCTTTAATTTTGTGAGGGGGGTTGTATATCTGTTCTTAAGAAGCATGGTATACAAGATGAGAGCTAGCTTACAGGTGGGTAGTTTGCAAATGACTTGTCTACAATAGGCCCTCCATACCACTCCCATGAGAGCTTTAATCTAAGCTCTTCAAATGGGTTATATGGGGACTCTATACGGGCTACTATAGGGGTTATTAGGGGGGATACTAGGAGTTTACATTATGGGACATAAGTCATTGGCGGTCTGATCGGAGTTCTTATGGGAGCGCTACGGAAACTACCCGCTTGCAAGCCACCCCTTTGCAAGGGGTTGTAGGTTCAGAAGATATATTTGGTATCCTTTGCGTTTGTGGACAACATTTGAAAGAGAGTATGGTGATGATTAGACGTTTGCGGTAAACACTTTCGAAGCTAAAGCCTAGGGTCTGCGTAGGGGGTGCGCAAGCATTTTTTGACTGCATTGTTGCGGGATTATGTCTTGTCAGCTGTCAGAAATATGCATAAGGGCTGAGGTATTTGAAGTCGGGTTCCTGGTGTCTCATCATGTTCTTGGGTTCCCCTTTTTTATTGAGCGTTGCAGCCCCAAACCCACAAATCTCAAAGACCTTAACACCCTAAGCCCTAAAGTCTGAATAGCAGTTTCCTTTTTATTTTCCATTTTCCCAAAATAACCGCTCGTCAGGATCCGCCAAGAGGGAACACTTACCCTCCCCCAAACACACAGCTTTGGGTTTAGGGTTTAGGGTTTAGGGTGCAGCATGGGACCCCACAAGAGTACTCCAGAAATTACCAATGTACATCTGAAGGAGGCCTATATGTGATCCCTTGACGGTTCTCGTTTTAGATTCCTCCGTATTAGCCACACCCACCTCGCTACACTAGATACATGATGCATGTGTATGAAACATGCATACGTATACGCATGGCACAGGGGATGTTTTGCTATCAGGTGTGTGTGTGTGTTCTTCAGAATAGGCCAGAGGTGTTTATGGTTTATGCAGGCTTTCGAGATTTCTTATTGGACTGTGCCAGAAGCTTACATTTGTTATCGGAATGCCGAAACCCTACACCTGCAAGTGTAGCCCTAGAGACCATGGGAGTGAGTTTTTCATTTTTCTCATGCTACCGGGGGGGGTTTCGTAATTATGATTCGAAACCCCACCCTAAACCCCAACCCTAAACCCTAAACCCCGCCCCTCCCCCGCCCTAACTGGCTTCATCTGGAGAACTTTGTTAATCCCAACATCCACAATCCTCTACGCCCCCAACCTTACAGTCCCTATAGCCCCCCTAAAGTAGATAGAACATGCGGTATGTTGGGATCTTGTTAGGATACTGGGCAATTCCATGATTCTATCTACTTCAGGGGGAATACAATTCCAAGTATCCAACCCCCAAATACCCCTGAAGGATTACCAACATTGTTGACTTACAACCATTACGTACAACATACAACTATGAATGAAGTACTTGCGACCCTAAACCCCAAACCCTAAAACCCCAAACCCTAAACCCTAAAACCCCAAACCCTAAACCTCAAGACCCTAAACCCCCAAATCCTAAACCCTAAACCTTAAACCCTAAACCCCAAAGCCTAAACCCCAAACCAAAACCCTGAACCCTAAAATCCTAAACCCTAGACCCCAAACCCTAAACTCCCACCCGGCCTTACTAGGGTGGTCAGACACTGAAGAAACACGTCAGCCTATCACCCGTAGTGGGCAAGACAATAGGAGGAGCCTATGGAGAGTGGACGTATAGAGCCCCTCCGCGCTCCTCCCATACATCGGGAGGCACAGCCCTGCCTCCAGCCAGTCCAGTGGGCCAAATCTTTGCATTGTACATTGATTTTCCGTCGCCCCTACATTTCCAGCCTCCTTCCAGAAGGGTGGAGGGTTCTGGAGGCTCTCGGACGCCCCTGAAAACGGTGGGAATTGAGGGCGTAGCCTAACAGGAAGGAGGTTCGCTGGACGCAGGATGTGCCGCCACTCAAAGATCCCTGGAAGTGGGGTGGCGCCATCGGCGCATGGACACTCATCCCTGCGCAGGTAGACGCCCTAAACCCTAAGCCCTAAACCCCAAACCCTAAAACCCTAAAACCCTAAAACCCTAAACCGTCAACCCTAAACCCCAAACCTGGATCATCTCCTTAGGCTTCAAGCTGATGAAGCTTCCCCTCCTCATGGGCCCACCGCTCAAGAAAATGACGGAGGAGGATCTCCGGTTTTAGGGTTTTAGGGTTTCAGGATTTAGGGTATAGGGTTTCAGGTTTAGGGTTTAGGGTGTAGGATATCGGCTTTAGGGCTTCGGGTAGGGCTGAGAGTTTTGAGGTGTAGGGCCAGGGCTTTCTGGTATGTTTTGGAAAGTCAGGGTCTAATATCGAATGAGGGTTTGAGGTGGTTTAGGTTTGGGGCTGGGCCTGGGGCTTTATCAGAGCTTGACGCGTGACCTCCATTGCACAGGCTAACATGGAACTTCCACGCCGTTTGGGGTTTAGGTTAGGGGGATGCCTCACCCTGTAATAGTGGCTACAAGGCTATAAGGGATAATAATAGTAAGAAAGAAAATCAGGGTCCTATTATATGCCCATCATGCCACTATTACAGGGCGGGGGGTCCTTATAAGGTTCAAGGTTTGCTCGATCTGCCAGGGCGTCATCGTACTTTAGTGATGATCTCCTAGGACCTTGTTCTCCAAACAGGCGCCAGTGAGTCCAGCGTTCAGGGTCTACTTCGACATTCCAGTGTAGTACAGGGTTTATTTAGGGTTTAGGGTTCACTCCTAGCCACACTGCCTATATTGACCATCCAAGTACCCCAAAAACTAGGTTTCTAGGCCCTCAAAACTCTAATCTCAATGGCATTTGGGATCTAAAGCCCCAATATTTGGGTACTTGGACCCTCCCTATAGAGCCCTACACCCTACCCGGGTACCTAATTTGATGTCCAGAACCTTCTATATGCAAAAGTAGGGTTAAATCTAAACCTCAAACCCGAACCGCAACCGCGTCAGGTCTTCCCTGCAAGGTTCCCCATGAGCTTACATTAATTTAGCTCTGATCATCCCTGTCATGGTTTAGGATTTAGGGTTTCAGGGTCTAGGTGTTTAGGGGCTTAGGGTTTAGGATTCAAGGGTTTAGAGTTTGGGGTTTGAGGCTTGGGATTGTAATATCCAAAACCCTAAACCCTAAACCCTAAAACCTAAACCCAATCTAGCTGGGCAAGAGCAGGAATCTCAATCCCAGGTAACCTACGACTAAGGATGATAAGATGTATGAGCTACTGTCAATGTTAGCCTTATCACGGGACCTTTCACAGTGGACATAATTAATATAGTCCTCAATAAGGAACCCTATGTAGGAACTATTCAGGCCCATCCTACTATCGCTTTCCCTCGTTTTAGGCACTCCCCTTAATATTCAGAAATCAAAAGTGGCCTACAAGATCCCCAACTATTTGGGCGATATACTTAACACTAAGGGCCAGGGGATATTTCTAAACGGGCGCTGTAAACCCTAAGCCCTAGACCCCCAAACCCCTTGAAACTAAACCCTAACCCCCCCTAAACCCCTAACACCCTAAACCCCTAAACCCGTGAAACCCGTAAAACCACAAAATCCTTAAAACCCCTAAAACCCCAAAATCCTTAAAACCCCTAAAACCCTTAAAACCTTAAACCTGAAACCCAGGAGATGAAGCAAAGAGCCCTTCCAGCCCGGCAGCTGTGCATGTTCCAGGCCTGGTTTGAGGGCTTCCGAGGGGTGGGTTAGGGGTCTTAGGGGTTTAGGGGTTTTAGGAGTTTAGAGGTTTGGCTCTAGGGGTTTTGGGTTTTGGGGGTTTTGGGTTGAATAGGAGTTGTATAGGGTTCAGGTCGGGAGTTTTGACCGGGTTTTGAGCGAGTTTCCGTTTTGCCCGTTTATTTCTGGAGGATGCAATTTCTACTTATCATGGCTTGAGGGGTCTAGCTTAAGTTAGGCCTTCTAGGAAGCTTACGTAAACGACAGATACTCGACTAGAACAGGCAACCAAATCTAAGCTGTTGGGCAGTCACCAAGCATTTGAGGGTCCTCAGTGGCTCACAAGCTGCATTCTGCAGGCAGGGGTGTGCCTGCTGTAGGCATTGTTGAGCCTGGTGCAGACAAACCCTAAGCCCCAAACCCCAAGGGCCTAAACCCTCCCTCAGCCCGATGCCATGCTGAAAGGGCTCGTATTTCAAGAAGTATTGGGCTGGAAGGCCGAGCGCTCGGGTTCAGGGCTAACTTTACCTGGACCCTAGACCTACTATAGTTTGGGATTGTAAGTAATTGAAGTCAGTGTTGACACCATAATTTTGGGTTGTAGTTTTGATGCCATGGTTTTGGGGTTTTAAGTCGAGGCAGGCGAGGCTGGATGTCTGGCTCTATACAGTACAGGATAACCATATACCAAGGTTTTGTTTAAAAGGTTCCTCAAAGCCTAAACCTAAACCCTGAACTTTAAACCCTAAACCTAGACCTAAACCCCAAGCCCTGAACCCCTAAACCCGTAAATCCTAAACCCTACACCCCTAAACCGCTTAAATCGTGTCTACCCGGCACAGCTTCGCTGTCTCGACAGGTGGCAGCCAACCTCTTGGTGGAGCTTTCAGTCGCCGAAGACCTAGCTGTTCATCTTGAGGATTGTTACCCGGTAGGGTCCAAGAACCCAATGGTTGGGTACTTGGGGTTTTGGCATTGCCAAAGATATCTAGAGTCTAGAGCTGTATAGGGATACATCTGGTTACTTGGGGTGTACTTACTGGTTGTTTGTACAGGGACCGAAAGGCAGATGAACAATGACATGGACACTCAGGGTTTAGAGGGAGAAATAGGATTATTAGTGCAGGGTCAGTTCACGGGTGGCTAGTAGGAAATGATCGTACTACGCAAGTGGGGGTGTTTCAGCAGCCATTGTCGAGATGCAGCCGTCCATTCCCTAATACCTACGAACCAGCAGTAGGTCCTTTGCTTCTTTGGGCTTGGGGTTTAGGGTTTAGGGTAGACTTTTTGGGCCTGGCATTTATGATGTAAACTTCTTCTTGATGAGGAATGAAGGACCATGGAGTGGATTGCAGGGCTTTTGAGCAAGCAGTGTGGGGAAATCTCGTGTGCATTCTACTTTGCATAAGTCCCACTACTACTACCCCATACTACTAAAATGTTGGGATTAGTACACCCTACTCCCAGAACCCTAATCCGTAAACCCTAGGGTTTAGGGCTTTATTGTCTACGGCAAGGTTGAGGGGCGCTCGAACCTTACTGACTGCGGCGCGGTGTATCGTGCTCATCTATTTTCCTAGCCCTTCAATGTTGAGAGCCTGACAAATTCTTTGGGTTAGGTTTTTAGGGTTCAGGGACCACGATAACCCTCTACAGTGGGATCAACATACAACCCATCGGCACGCTGGCGGGTTTAGGTACGCTTGGGATTTCAAGGCGATGCAGAAGACCTGCATGTGGGAGGCTTGAAGTAGTCGTTACCTAGACCCTCCATCTACCCTCTATAGACCGCTAAATACCCACTATAAGGGACCATATACCCCTATTTAAAGGTACAAATAAGGAGGGTCCTGGCACATCTTCTTTGTAGGGACCTCCAGAATCCCTTAGATCTCCATGGGCCCGGATGTAGTTTTGGGGGTTTAGGGTTCGAGAAATGCATGGTGTTTCAACCTATGGAGCTCGGATGCTGAGACCTCCGCTAACCTTTAAGCCCCAAACCCCAAGCTTCCAATCCTAAACTCTAAACTCGACATTCATCTTTGCCGTGACCTCAACACAAAACGTGACACCCCAAATCCCAGATTGAGAAACTCTCTAAACCCCATATCACATATTCATATAACCCGTTTGGAGGGGACCCTATGTATCCATACCCTAAACCCTCAACCCTGAATCCTCAAATCCTAAACTTTAAACGCCATTACAAACACCTAAATGATTTTCCCAAAAAAACACCTCTTCGGGGGCCCTATAGCCAGGATTATAGCATTTTTGGGTCCATATTGGGGCCCCTCTTGGAAATAACATTGAATCTGAACTCTAAATCCTAAACTCTAAACCCTAAACTATAAAAATCTAACATCCCAAAACCTTCGACCCTGAACCCTAAATCCTACACCTTAAATCCCCAGCCCTAATCCAAGGTACATCGGCCTGTAGAGGCCTATGGAAACCAGCTCCCGGCAGCGGCATTGGCCTTGGCCGCCAGAGTCTGAGAGGGCAGTTTAGGGTTGAAAGTTTAAGGTTCTAGGCTTTTCGACGCACCTTATGAGGTCGTTTTCCTTTGTACCCTTAGGATTTGTACTCTTGGGTCTGGGTCCCAAAACATGGAATATGGCCCTTGATAAGGGTATTTGGGACCCAAAATCTAGTGTTACAAACATTACAGGTGCACACTTAACGCCTTTGACCTTATACCATAGCTATACAACTTACTGAGGCTAAGTAGGGACTGAGGACATACAATCCCTAAATAGGCTCTGAACACAATAGATTCCCTTATTCCCTACTAATCGGCAGTAAGGATTCTGAGGGAATTTCTCTAAGTGTCTTGGGTAGATTTTGGCATTCTACGAGAATCAGATCCAAGTACCCAAGAACCAGGGCTTCAAGTACCCAAACTGGCTTGCTGTTAGCGAACTTACATCAGGTTACCATATCATGGGTATACAGTAGATAGTGGGGCTTCCTTCTTATAGTAACTTACTTTGGATCAGAGTGGAATATACTACCCCCAAAGGTGGTACGAGGGTCACAGTTAGGGCTATATGAGTCAGTATGTTTTGTTAAAAGTGGGATAGAATAGTCCACCCAAAAGGGAGCCGCGAAGTAGGTATTACACAAGTACATATAAATGTATACATATATATATATGTTTGTACGTAGGTGAATATATATATACACACATACATACATACATACATACATACATACATACATACATACACACATACATACATGCATAGAGACATAGGCGCCCAACGCCGGCATCATCTAGAACCCCAGGGTTTTGGTCTTCAATTTCCCCCAAACTCGCATTGCATCGCAGCAATGGCACTATCAAGATCATGGTGCTTTGCATAAGAGACTTCATGGAGTTCCTAAACCCTAAACCCTAAACCCTACACCCTAAACCCTAAACCCTACACCCTAAACCCTAAACCCTAAAACCATCCCTAGACCCCCCCCAAATACCCTCTATAGACGCTAAGTATCCACAAATTGAAGCTACATAGACCCTAATTTAGGGTACTTGAGGGGTCTAGGTAGTTTCCATTTTCTTTTCCATGATCCCCTATATAACTCCAATATAGCCCTAGTATTACCCCAAGGCGTACCTATGGCCCCTAAACCTATTTCAAGGTACTTGGAAGGTCTAGGTCCAGGCTAGTTTTCAGGAAGGTCACCTTATTTTTCTTTCGGTGGCGAGGTTTTGGGGGTTAAGGCCGCAAGGCGGGACAGACTTTGAGTTTTGAGGCTGTAAGCTACATGGGATTCAAGTTTGAGGTGCTTAGAAGGGTTTAGGGTTTAAAGGGTTTAGGCTTTAAAGGGCTTAGGGTTCTCGCACTAAGTTCAGGATTTGCCGGCTCCTCTTTGAATCGGGCCTCCGCGCAGTTCTGGAAAGATGCGAGGGTGCGACGACTGCTTGGTTCTTTGTTTGCTGACACTTTTCCGTGCTAGGTGGTAGGAGGAAGCGGAATTAAAAGCCATAAAGCCCGAAATCCTCAGTGATGTAGTTTGTTCGGATTTCTTCTCCACCATCGTAAGCCTTAAGCCCTCAAGCCTAAACCCCTAAGCACTGCAGAAAATTCCATGTGAAGGTTTCCCAAAATTAGGGGTCCCAATAATAGGGACTATAGTATTTTGGGGTCTATATTGGGGTCCCCTTATTTTGGGAAAGTACCATGTTGCTCACCATAAGCTGTAAACCCTGAAGCGTACAACTGCCCGGTCCCAAAGGATGGCAAGCCAAGTTCAGGGGTCTTAGGTTTTAGAGATTGGGGGTTTAGGGGCGGTTTAGGGTTTAGGGTTTAGGGGTTAGGGTTTAGGGTTTAGGGGTTTAGGGTTTTGGGATTTTACGGTTTTAGGGTTTGGGGGTTTAGGGTTCAGGATTTCGGGTTCAGGGCTTGGGGTTACCAAAGCATTCTCTCTACCAAATCTACCCCGTATAATCATGTTTTATGTGCTTTTCCATTTGATTACTTCTCAGGGAAAAGCCCGAATGAATAATGTATACGCCTTCAAAGGGGCTCAGGGTTTCCATAAACCATAAGCCCTAACCCTTAAAACCCTAAACCACGAAACCCCTAGTTTTCCGTTTTCTTTCCCGAAACGATTTTACACGCTGCGCTGAAGAGCAGACCGTTCTTTTGAGTCATTGTCGAATGTGGGACCTTCCCAAAATTAGGAGCACCATTTTTGGGTGCGTCATATGGGGCACAATTTCGGGTGGAGTATATAGGGGTTATATAGGGTTTATGGTTTACCAAAATTAGGCGTACCTTTAAAAGGGGTTATTTAGGGCCACGGGTTATATAGGGTTTACGGTTTCCCAAAAATTAGAGGTACCTTTACAGGGATTATATACCGGCTTTAGGGTGTCCCAAAAAATTAGTGATATCATCTTCAGGGGCCCTGAAATAAGGACTATAGTATTGTGGGGTCTATATTCTCCAGGGTTCCCCGATTTACGGAAACTACCACATGGCTTCAAGTATTATTGCTACTCTACTAATGAGCTAAGGCTTTAAGGACTAGGGTTGGGTATAGGGAAATACACATTTTTCTGGGTAGTACAGCTGCCAAACTGTAATCTTTTCAGGTATATTAAATCCCCTCTAAAACGAAAGTTCAAACTTTTTGGGGCCTAGGTACTGGACAATTAAGTGTTTTAAGATAGTACCAATAAGCGGTAGTCTTCCCGTCCGCCCCAAAGCTTGGCTATGAGGTTGTCCAGCTGGCCCTGCATGGTTTCAATACGGATCCACCAGAGGAATGCATCGCCTGGGGCCTACACTGTTGTTTCACAAAGGGTAGGTTTAGGATTCATAGGCGTAGAATCTGCAAGGGGCCAAACCTAGGTTTAGGGTGGAGGGGTAGAACTTGAAAGCAGGGGCCATGTAGGGATCTAGGCTAGTTTGAGGAGGTTATTACATGCGGAGATTCGCAATGGACTTTGCATCCATTTTAACCCAACTCGCGGAGTCCCTCAGAAGTGGAGTTTAGTGTTTAGGGTTTATGGTTCAGGGTTTAGGGTTTAGGGTTCAGGGTTTAGGGTTCAAGGTTTTGAGCCTGGGGTTCAGGGCTTAGGTTTCAGGGTTTAGGGTTTAGGGTGAGTATCCTCCATATGCAAGAGCCATGCAGCTCGTAGATGCAGAGCGGATGCGTACTTCAGAAGCTGGACTCCCCATGAAGCTGTAGATAATTCTTCCAAAGGCGCGAAAATTGAACCTGTGAATACTTGTTTTCTTGAGGCTTGTGGGAAGAACTATAGCCCACTTTCTAAAAAACCGTATAAACCCTACAAAGCCCGATAAACCCTGAACCCTATACCAGGTGTAGGGTTAGCTATCCCAGCCGCAGATGCCACACGGTTTTTTTGGCTCAGGGTTTAGGGTGTGAGCTTGGCCTTTGTCAAATGAGGGTTTAGGGTTTAGCGGTATGCTGTTTGGCGTTTGTAGCTCAGGGAGCACCTTGTACAGCAGCTGGAGGCCTCCTGAGAGATTCCTACAAGGATTGATGCAGTAGTGGGCGATTCCGTAAATCAGGGGTACCATCATAGTGAGGATTGTAGCGTTTGGGGGGTCTATACTGGGGTCCCCTACTTATGGAAACAAACTGCATAGTATAGAAAACTGAATAGCTACATATTATATTATCCCCTTGCCATCTGTATATAAGTATCGTACAACATACCCTCGACGTCTATGCGGAGGCCCCTACACAAACTCCTATATGAACCCGATTTGCATTTTCCGTTTTCTCTTCCATGTCATTTCCCACCGCCGGTAAGTATATGCCTTGAAGCCCTAAGCTAAACCAAATTATTCTGATCATTTGGACCCCTACATTGACGGAGTGCAAGCCCAGACTGGGTACTGGAAACACCCTCGCCTCATTCTTTCTGGGAATGTAAGGGTATAGAATAGGTGGACCCCCCACCCTGTAACAGCGACTATAAAGGACAATGGTAATTATATATACGGGTCCTCTTATATGCCGATTATTCCACTATTACCGAGTGGGGGTTCCACCTAAGGCATAGATAATAGTAATACCTACTTTTGTTTATTGGCCCGGCTTTAGTGTTCAGGGACATAAGCAGGTGGGTTAAGCTGGGTAGCTGTCAAGGGACTTGAAATTAACTAGCTACTATGAAGAAAACCTATTATTTCCTATATACCCATTTATGTAGCTTGATTTACAGTCCCTAACAGCAACCCAATCAGGGTTGGGTCCTAAAGCCAATATGTATATATACAATATACCTAGCTCCATACCTGGGCTTGAAACGCGACTCCTGTGCCGCTGAGCTGGATTCTTGTAGACTACCCCAAATATAAGTAAGGGTATAGCCTGGTGAAAGATGGTTACTAAGTCCCATGCATCCGTGTAATCCCTCCGTGGCCCCATATGCCTACGATCCCCAGTGGTACTCCGTTTATGAAGAGTGGTTCCTGTAAGTACTGTATCCCATGGAGTTCGAAGTAGAGAAGTAATGTACAGGGATTGTCGAAAGGTAGGGAACCCCCAAGATATAGACAGGTGATATTCCAGAGTTCCGTGTAGTTTCTTGTACAGATGACACTTGTGTTACATAGCATGGTTATGTAGGGTATACGGCGTTGCAATGGTATATTGGGCTTGCAGTAGGAATTTGGGGAATCTTGAGGACTGAGGTATGTCGAGGTATTGGATAGCGAGATTTTTTGGGGAGCTACCGGTGTCGTACATGATGACCCTAGTTGAAGCCTGAAACTCTAAGCCCTAGACCCTAAGCCTAAGGTCATTCCCCCTCCCAGTAACTGTCCTTAAAGGGGCCGTATTTATGACTCCTATAACCCATTGTGGTAACAGTTACTTTAAGGGGGAATGACCCAATCTAAGCCCTAAACCCGACACCCTCTGCCCCACACCCTGAAACCAGAAGAAGCTCCAACCTCGACAGCTCTAAGGGTTTAGGGTTTGGGGCCTGTGCTGACGTGAAAGCCACCCTTAGATACTGAACTTTCTGGTGCCCAGTAGGGAATAAGGGAATACAATCTCTGTGTAGTCCCTACGTAGGAAATCCCGAATTACCTACGAATCCTAACTCCTAAACCCAATATACATTCCCTTGATCTCTACTAACCCCCAGTAACTAGATAAATTTGTGCACTTCCCCGCCTTCTAGGGCTGAGGTTGCCCATTCTGGAAGGCTTAGTAGCTCAGTAGTCCCCCCTGGCCGTTAAGCTGCCCTCAAACCATAAACCCTCAAATCCTAGAATCCTAGAACCCTAAACTCCCTAAACCCCTAAACTCTAAATCCCCAACCCCCCAACCCCCAAAACCCCTAAGCTCTAAGCCCCCCAAACCCCTAGGTTTTTACCCTAAAGCCCCTAAGCCCTAAACCCTTTTCGAATCCGAAAGCCTTCCCCCAGGCCAAGCTGGCAGAAATGAAGGACTGGCTTCTCCCAGTTTAGGGTTCAGGGTTTAGGTGTTTGGGGGTTTAGGGATTTAGGGATTTAGGGATTTAGGGATTAAGGGATTTAGGGGTTTAGGGATTTAGGGTTTAGGGGTTTAGGGGTTTAGGGATTTAGGGTTTAGGGTTTAGAATTAGGGGTTTAGGGGTTTAGGGTTTAGGGTTTAGCCAGCATAGAAGACAATAGAAGACACAAGCCGAAAAGGCTGTAAACTTTAGGCTCTGTCGGCTGCTGCCTTACTGACAGAAGAAATCTTGTGTTTAGCGCTCCTAATCCACTGGAATAGCCTAGTTACTTACCTTTCATTAGCTGAAACGACGGAATGGATCCTTGTAGTAGTCCGTATGTTCCATAATATGGTTATATCTGGTTATAAGTAGAAGTACCAGCTATAGGTAGATTATCCTTACCTTCAAGCTCCAAGTGGATCCAAAGACAAACCTGAAATCCTTCTGCTGGGGGAATTGTGTGCGTGTTGAATTCATTGGGATTTGGGGTTTAGGATATATAGGGTGTAGAGTTCAGGGTTTAGGGTTTAGGCTTTAGGGTAGCGCCGGGACACACACTGACCGTTTCACGAAATACGAAGCCCAACAAAGAGCAAAAGCTCATCTCGGTGAAGCTCTTGATGCTACACAATGCAACCAACACCCTACAAGCCCTAAGCCGTCAACCCTCCGCCATTAACCCTCCAGAACAAGAATGAACTTGCAAGTTCTTGGGGTCACGATTAACCACCCATATATTTATGCAAAATAACAGCCCCAAAGCCTTAAGTGATTGCCTCACCTAAACCCGTTCCAGTAGCTTCCATTTTGTTTTCCATTATCCCTATTTTTATTAAGACTATTATTACCAGTTTTGGGTACCATAGTATCCCCGAATAAGGACCCTAGATTTTTGAAGAGCCCAACTTGCGTCAGGATCAGCTCACCTTTCCAGACCACGTGACCGAGGATACTCAGAAGACGCTCATGGTCAGCCGGCTTAATTAATGTAGGGTATGGGGTTTGGGGCTTAGGGCTTAGGATTTAGGGTTATGCACTTACCACTATTGCGGTTCTAGACTCCTTGCATATACCCGGTTTCGAAAGTATTTTGAATTTCCATGTGTGCTTCTCCAGTCTTGACAAATATTAAGGCCCCTACAGTAAATCTCCAGGGTTAGCATACTCTACGGCTTCAAGCCTTCGGGTGATAGGTAGATCTGCATTGTGGGGTTGAAGGGGAGCTTGTAGGTTTGTAGGCTTGGAGTTTGTTTTTGGTTACGGTATTGTTTGTTTTGGTGGTTGTGGTGGGTGCAGGGCTTGGGGCAAACAGCCCATAACTGCTTAGATGGGGCATGCGCCTTGCCCCGCAGGTTCTTAGTTTTCGTTGCAGAAAAATTGTGCTTTCCATTTTGTGCCTGCAGGTGTGGTTCCAAGCATCAATCGTTCCTTTTGGGGTTTGTTGCGTTTATTGGTCGGGGGTTGTGGTATACTTTAGGAAGACCCCCCCACACAATGCAATAGTGATTCAATAATAGTAATAGCAATACCATAGGACCCTAACATAATCCTTATTATCCCTTCTAGTCACTATTACTCCGTGGGAGTTCCACCTAAGGTATACTACCCAAAAAGAAATACACCGCAGGCTCTGGGTAAGCTAACGTGGTTCCGGGTTTTAGGGAGGGTGAAGGTTTAGGGCTGAGAGTTCAGGGCTAAGGGTCAAAGGTGCAGGGCTTAGGGTTTATAAGTTTTAGGGTTTAGGGTTTAGGGTTTATAAGTTTTAGGGTTTAGGGGTGTAGGGCATAGGGTTTATAAGTTTTAGGGTTTAGGGGTGTAGGGCATAGGGTTTTTGGTTGAGAGTTCTGGCTGAGAACTCTGCTGCAAGGTCCCTTAGACGTTTCCCAAAGCTAGCATGGAATGCCATACAGCCCCCTTTTCAAACAAACCGCCGTCTGCATTGGAAGACTGTTGGGGTTCGATATTCAATGATATTCACTTGCGGAGGGCGGATGTGATAATTTCATGCAGTGATCCTCAGGAAGTACCTTGTGAACACCCAAACATTTCCTATGCACACAGTTGACACTGAAAATACTGTATGCCTTTGTATACTGTATTTCGATACTTCCATAGGCAGAATATTTAGCCCAGATGGAAAAGAAGGTTCTTACTTGGAGGGTCAGGGGGACTTAGTAAACAGGTTAAGAACCCATATAGTAGCCCTAGCCCTAGTTATTCCCCTTATTAAGCTACTTACTACGTCCCCCCTGACTCTCCAAGGAGCGTCAGGCGAGAGTTTAATTTCAACCATACCCTTCCAGGACCTTCCTTGTATCCTAATTGGAGATATATGATCCCTAATAGTAGGTATTTTGACCCTAATAGAGGGTAGGAGGAGGGTCTAGGTTGATTCCCAACAGTACTGCATCCCGTTGTCGTTCACTCCGTGCTCAAGTGTTCTAAGGTTGGAATTATGGGCCCCAAGTATGGGCCCGTAACCGGGGGATGCGAATACCTACTTTATACCCTATGTGTACCCTTAAGGGTCCCTAGGATCCTCCTGAGGGCCTCCGGGCCCATATTTGTGGCAAAGCCTACTAAGCCCATGATCTGAAGATCTTCTTCAAACTCAACAGGGCCGGGCCCCCTTAGGTCTTCGTAGATGTTGGTTTGAGAGTTTCTCCGCATAGTCTGTTGCACAGTCGTGATCATTCCTACAGATTCCCACTCTGCAAAGAGGAGCTCCAGTTTCAAAATCACCCCCAAAGCACAAGTAAACGATAATAGAAGACCAAGTATTCAACCGAAGAAACCTATAAGCAGATATTCATCTCTCCTTTTGAAAAACACCACCCCGCTGATCCAAAATGTTCCCCTCGTGGTGTGCTGCACTATGAAGGGCATGAGTGTCTCATGTTCGGTGGGGTTGGGGGTCTCAATGATAGGGGGACGGAAGTACATAAGTATATCTTCTCCATGCACCAGGAGACCCTAAACCTTGGGTACTGTGCCCGCACTCTGTAACAGTTAGATAAGATTCATAGTACAATTATACATAGCCCTTAACAAGACTCCTAATATCAACTGTTACAGTCCGGGGACACTACCCAACCTAAACCCTGAACCCTAAAAACTAAACCCAAAACCCTAAACCCAGGTACCCTAAGCGGCCCTAAACCCTAATCCCTAAACCCTAAACCCTTAAACTGATGCCCTTCAAACCTAGGCTTCGCTTTACCGTCTTTGGACTAATGCCGCTGAGAGCTCTCCAGCCCAGACCCTGGTTTTGGGGCGCTTGGATTAGGGTTTGGGGTTTAGGGCTTAGGGTTTAGAGTTTGGAGCTTCCTGTCTGGGGCTTTTGCCCAAGAGCTTACAGCATAGCTGTAAGCGAAAGCGGATGGCCTTCATACAAGGGTTTCTATTTCACAAAGTATGACAAGCTCATCTGACCTCACCCCAAAAGCGTCTTACGTAGAACACACGGGTTTGGGTTTAGGGTCTCGGGTCAATCTAGACGTCGTCACAGAATGGCCTTCTTGAGGCTTTGGAATTTCTGTCGTGTGCCCAGGTTCTATCATGGTCAGTGCAAGTTTTCCCCATTTTGGTGCTTAGGACCCTTTGGAGTAGGAAGTGTTTTCTGTTCCCCTTAACCCTAAACCCTAAACCCTAGGGTTTGCAGATTGCCTCTGTTAGCTTCCTAGTCGGGCCTCTTCGGCTGAAGGGCCTTGGGTTTAGGACCCTGGTGCTTACTGCCTGAACGATCACCCCGTTTTTCAATCTGTCTGGGGTTTGAGGGAGCAAAGCCCACGAGATCCGTAACAGATGCGCCCTAGTGAGCAGTATCCACTTCACATTCACTTTCGTTTCTCACGTCCGAGCAGTTGGGTGCGTCAGGAATTTCGTAAAAGGCATATGTCCTAGAACTCTGTCCTGGACATGCTGAATTCTGAGCCCCTACATCCTAAACACTAGAATCCCCCTAAACCCCAAGCCCTAAAGTCACCAGATCCAACCAGAAGGCTTGACATGTTAAACTGTTGAGTTGAGGCATCTAGCAAGCAAGCCCTGCAAGCACAGGTTGTGCAGAAATGGAAGCAGAGACTTCGCAAGGACAGTCAGCAGAAATAGGATGCTACTCAGTCCATGGGATTTAGGAGTGCCTGGGGATATGGCCCTATTAAAACTAGTGTAGCCTGCATGAGGCCAAGTTATCAGTAGGACTGTAAGTGCAGCTTTCAGTTGTTATTACGTAAAGCCTGTCAACCTTCCAGTACAGCATTTGTCCAGTTGGTGGGTGTGCAGAACGAATCATGGTCCCCATCGGGTTAGATTTGGGTTATGTTGGGATAATGGAAAATAGAATGGAAACCATTATAATAGGGGTTACATTGGCGGACTTTACTAGGTTAGGGCCCAGAGTGTTTCGAGTGCAGCAGCACTTGGGGAGGCCACTACAGAGGAACAGTCGTCGTTGCAATACTATTAGATAGCGCGCATGATTCCTGCCAGTGCTCCCCAGCTGCTTCATTGGTAGCCCACTCCTGTGCTGTAGACGTGCAAGCAGCAGTAATAGTCGTAGTAACTGCGGTCGAAGTGGCAGCAGAAGCAGCACAGCAAGAGCAGTAATACGCCACACTGTTCTCGGTAAAAATAGGAGCGCCCCTTTTCGTGGCAGGATAGGCCAGTCTTGTACCTGGACTCTTGGGGAAGTTTTGGGATCTCGGGCTATTTGGTGTTCATCTGTCGAACCTCGTTCAGCAAGGGCTCAGCTTATGACTAAGGTATTTTAAGGAGCTTGAATGTTTGGCAATGCTGTGGTCCTAGATTCCTTGTACAATTATGGCTGTGGATATCCCAAATGGACCTCAGTATGATCTTTGGAAAGATTGAAGCTCTACAGTATCTCCTCTTGTTCCCTGTCGTTGAGTCAATCAAGCACGGGCAGGAAGGGAGGTTGAATGGGTCGGCCGCCTTACCCAACAAAGTCGCAAGAAGCGCAGGCTTTAGCAAAGCCAACCACCAAGACCCTCCTCGTACCAACAGTTTGCTTACAGCCTCTCATGGTAAGTAGCGTAAGGGCCTCCATACCTACCAGCATAGTGGTCCTTCATCCCTTGTATGAATAAGGTGTAGGCCGCGAACAGATGTCAACATGATCAGCCCCTGTAGCATTGAAACCGCACTGCGGGTAGCTGGAGGGTCCAGGCACAGATGGTCTCAAAGTGCGACCACCCATAACTCCATTGTCATTTCTGCGGTTTGGGGTTTGGTGTTTAGGGTTCCGATCCTGTAAAGGTAATCCAAACCCTAAACCCTAAAACCCTAAAACCCTAAGCCCTAGACCCCAAAGCTTGGCGTGCGAGGACAACCCCACAGCTACCTTGCCTACGGCACCTCCTAAGGCCAGCTGAGTGGGGTTTTAGGGTTTAGGTTTAGGGTTTAGGGTTTAGGGCAGTTTAGAGGGTTCACGTACTATAGCCAGATTCTATCGTAGTTTATAATACGTCATCAGCAGGACACCGTGAATAAAGTTAGTTTCCATTTTCTCTTCCATTATCCCCAAGTAGCCCCATATAAACCCCCATATAGCGCCAATATTACCCCAATGGGTACACCATCAGCAGCATACCCTGAATAAAGTCTTACCTGCTGCGACCACCAAACAAAACTCTGTAACTGGGCTCTGGAAGTCAGGCTTTGGTTCGGGTTTACAGACTCATACTGTTGACACCATCAGAAGTCCTGCGTGACGTTAACATACTCTGACATCATAATTCCCAATATCGTGTAAATTTTGGCCATGCGGGATTTTTAGTATCCACGTTGCTCAGGATGCATGGTTTGGGGGTGCAAGGAGTAGGGCGCTCAGGGTGCTCTAGTTTCAGGTGATGGCTTTAGGCTTCCTAGTTCGAAAGTGTTTCCGACCGAGGGGTTGTTTTACAAGCCCAAAACTTGAAACCCCATAACTCTCAAATTCCCCATGTATCCCTAGAGCCCTGGCGCATCGTAGTTGCTGGCCTTGACGTGTGGAATGGATGTTCTATGCCCCCTATGTAGCGCCAGGGAATATGCCCAAAGTAAGGGATCCTGCCAACATGCATAGCATAGTCCATCTTTGCTGATGGCTCTTTGTTATTTCCTGAGATCTATTTGCGCCAAATCTCCTATGCCACAGCGGACTTAATCCCAGTCAACTTGAGAACGAACCTGGAGTATGAGGGGGAGATTGCCAGGCGGCAGTTGATGTGGTATTCGCTGTCGAAAGATGACGTGTATATGCGTGTGTCACAGCTTGTGAAAGGCCAGCGATCTCGGACAGCGCACATTTGTGCTGCTGTCCATGTCCCGATATCCCTGATGAGGCATGTCAAGAATCGCGTGCCGGGCTTCACCAACAAAACATGGAAGATGACATGGCGCAGTTAGGGCTATCGGGTTCTTTGGGTAAGGAATTTCAGCCCAAATCAGGCTTCCATAGCCCGTCTATACCGTCTATACCTCCAACATAAGCCGAAAGTAAGCCTCATGTACGCAATCCGGTTCACGCCTTCCATGAGGCAGTTTTCCTTTGTACCTTTTTATGTTGGGCACCCCCTTCGCTCGGATCCCTAAGCCCTCAGCCATGGAATACAGCCCTTACTGAGGGTATGCGGGGCCCAAAGCTTAAGCTCACAAGCATTACACTAACCTTGGGTACTGCCCCCCTCCCTCAGTAACAGGTGGGCAATAATTCTAATAGGGTTATATATAATAGGACCCCTAATATAGACTGCTACTGGGTGGGGGCAGTACCCAACCTAAACCTAATGGTACAGGCATAAAAATCTTTGACTCAGGGTTCAGGGTGCCTCGCTGCACATGCCCTGCTACTCACCTGAGAGCCATCGATTTTGGGTTTAGGGTTTAAGGCAACCATAACATTAAAAATCCAAGAAGCCCATTGTGAAAGGGGCTTGGGTTTCGGGACTTAGGGTTTATAAGGTTAGGCTTAGGATTTGGGGTTTACGGCGTTTGCTTTTGGGGCTTCGGGGCTTTGATATTTGTTAGTATTGACAGCTGACCTGTCCAGGCACCCTCAGATGCTAGGACGTTGCGAGTAATTACCAATAGGAAGGTGCTAGATTGCTTGAATGATTGTGGTGATGATGGTAGAAGGTACCCTCAGATGGACGTTAAAGTGACGTTGGTAATGATTGAGTCCCCGCTAGTAAAAGCCTTTGCTAGGGCGTGATATGCGTACCCTCAACCCGAGTCGGCAAGTCGGCGAATCCTCAACAAACAACAGTACAAAGCCTCGTAGGCTGTGGACTGCAGAACTTCCTTATTTAGCGCCCGGACTGCCGATTCGTAGTTTGTTAATTGCACCCTGAAACCCTAAGTCCAAGACCCCAAGCCCTAAACCCTAAATCCTAAACCCTAAATCCAAGACCCCAAGCCCTAAACCCTAAACTAAAGAGCAATCTACTTTCCAGATCTGCGGGCTTTTGGGCGAGGGTAGCCTTGGGAGAGACTTTGAAAGCCTAGACCCCAAAGTACCGAACCCCAGACTCCGGAGACTAAACTTCAAGCGGTTTAGGATTTAGGGGGTTTAGGGTGTAGGGTTTAGGGTTTGGTCTGTACTGTTTAGGGTTTAGGGTGTTTAGGGTGTAGGGTTTAGGGGTTTAGCGTTGGGGGTTTAGGGCGTTTGGGTTGAGACCCGGACTCCGAAGCCCCACATCCTAAAACTGTCACATAACAAACCACCTGGTATGGCAAGTTACATCAGCCAAGGGGCTGCCATATCCTGACCATATAGAACGGGTAGCCAACACTCTCGCTTGTGGCAAGCCCTGCATAAGCCTAAAGCTTGGGTGCTGCCCCCCTTCAGTAACAGTTAGATAATAAGTATAATATTTATGGTTATATATAGCCCTTAATAGGACCTTAATATAGACTGTTACTGGGGGGGGGGGCAGTACCCAACCTTAACCCTTGAAACCTTAATTCAAAAACCTACAACACTGAATTCTTAACTCAAACACCACCCCGAGGTCTTAAACCCTCAGCCCTAAACCCTTTCTAGGTTGCTGTAGCTTGAAGTTCTTTATCAGCAACCCAGCCTAAGCCCACAAAACTCTGAACCTTACACCCGAAACCCGAATCTTAGCCTTATACTTTGAAACCCTAAGCCCCAAACCCTAAGCCCTAAACCCTAAGCCCTACCGCCTGCAGGATAAGCTTCCGGAGGACCTCCAGGAGTGCTTGGAATACTCCACTCCGTGGCCTCCTCAGTCCTCTAGGTTAGGTGGACCACCCACCCAGTAATAGTGACTGTAGGGGAGAATAGGGATCATATTAGGGTCCTCTTATATTCCTATTATATCACTATTACAGGGTGGGGCTCCCTGGGGTTTAGGGTTCAAGGGTTTAGAGTTTAGGGTTTGGGGTTTAGGGTTTAGGGTCTAGAGTTCAGGGTGAGAGCTTTATTTTTTTTTGAACCTGAGATTTCAGCTTCAATGAATTTAGGGTTCAGAGTAAGGAACTGAGGGGTAAAAAGTTTAGTTTTTGTTTTGCTACATGATCCCAGGTATGCTGAGTGTCAGAGTTTTGAAAGGGTTCTGTGTGTTGGGTGTTGGCCCATGAAGAATAGATTCTCTTTTGGGATTCCAGGTCATTTCAGGGAAGCGCATTTCTTTGCAAGTCAGCAGCATGAGATGGCGCAAAGAGAAAAGATCTGCAAGCCTAGGAGGTTTCAGGGTTTAGGGCTTAGGGTGTAGGGTTTAGGGTTTAAGGCTTAGGGTTTAGGGTTGAGGGTTGCTGGTTTCAAGCAGAGGTTTATCCTACCTCGACAAACCTTCACATCAATTTATGCGTTGGATATCCAAGGTCCCCTGAAGCCTACATGCCACAATCACCTGGGCCCCGAGCCCTCCTTCACCACCAATGCCAGAAATCATGCTAACCCCTATGCCTTGGGTACTGCCCCCACCCAGTAACAGTCTATATTAAGGGTCCTATTAAGGGCTATATATGATTATTCAACTGTTACTGAGTGGGGGCAGTATCCAACCTATGCACTAAACCCTAGCGCATCCACAGGTTGAGGCTGGGGGCGAAGAAGGAGCCAAAAGTTCTCTCAGCCACGCCTTGCTGGGGCCTCTTTTTGCTTTAGCCATCCAGGGAAGGGCGGAGAGGGACTATGCCTTGTGATATCCAACAATTTTGTTGTTAGGGGCTTTGCGAGGGATGCTGCATGATTCTGTGGAGGCTATATGAGCTATAGTTTAAACTCCTAGTATCCCCCTTAAGCCCCTATAGTAGTCCCCTATATAGCCCCCTTTTTAAGGAGTTTAGACTATAGCTCATATGTGATTGGAGTGATGCTCCTGGACTGTTTTTTCAGATGACCGCTGCAACTTTGTTGTTGTGATGCTTCCTGGAGTTAGGACTCCGATGTGACAGCCCATGAAGTATGTTTCAGGCTTTGGGATTGCCAGGCCTTACAGCTTATATAACTCAAAGCGTCTAGGGAGTTGAACAGCATCCTTGCTGGGTTGACCCTAAACCCTAAACCTGGAACATCCTGCAAGTGAACAGGAGGCATCCAGGCCTCCCATAGCCATCTATCTGATTGCGCGCTGCCCTTATTATCGTCGCGTTTGTCTGTCGCCTTGGTAGGAAGAGTGTGTAAATCCTAAACCCTAAACCCTAAGCCTTTGCATCCCGGTCTAAATCGCAAGCCCTAAGCCCTAGTTGTCTATTACGCTGTGTAATAGAAGTATAAGATATGCTCTTTGACATCTGGTCTGTCCAAACGGGGCCCATCGCGGCACACAATTTTGAGCCCTCACCCCTATCCGCATGTCACATCCGTACTAAGTTTGATAGCCTGTCACTTGAATTTCTGCAAAGCCCCTCATGAAACCACTAGTTGGAGTCTCTTGCAAGAAGTGTCTCGCACAATGCATACATCAGAGGGCAGAGGGCACAAGAAGGAGGTGTGACACAGGAAATGGCACGCCCCACCTTCTTCGTTACGTGCAACCACCTACAAAGCTTGACCGCCTATGTGCCAGGGTGTCAGGCTTCTAAGCAGTAGGGTTTAGGGTTCAGGTTTCAGGGCCAACACTAGAGAAACAAGTGGAAAAGCATCCGCAAAATGAAATAGACACTGGACTTGCGGAAGGGTTTTGTAAGGGCTGCTTCAGGATAGTTACGAACTCTGGTGTTCTAGATTCCATATACAACTATGGTATAGCGTACCTCAAATAGACCTCAAAATGGTTTTGGTACCTCTTTAGGCCCCAAAACCCTGAACTCTAAACTCTGAACCCCAAACCCTAAACCCCAAACCCGAGACCCTAAACTCTAAACCTTAAACCCTCAACCTCTGCAGTAGGCCTGAGGAGCCAGGTTCCCTGCTGTTTTTTTTCACTTGTTTCTCCCATTGAGGTACATCATACCATAGTTACTTCTCCCCAAAACTTGAATGTTAAACCCGGAAACCTAAACCCTACACCCTGATACCTATATCCCAAGCCCCCAGTGCCGAGAGACCTCTCCCCTAAACGCGGTCAGCCGTACTTGTGGGGGTCAGGGGGACTTAGTGAGTACACTTATAATGCCAAATAGCCAAATAATAGCCCGCACTATCCCCATTATTCACTTTCTTACCAAGTCCCACTGACCCTCCAAGCAGTGTAGGGTTCAGGACAGAGTGTTCAGGGTTCAGGGACTAGCCTGGAGCACTCTCGACTTGCGAGGAAAAATAGAAATACCAAACCATCAGGTAAGAACCCTCTTTTTCTACGTGCATTGGCTACACTCGGTTGGCGTTAGGGGTTGCTAGGAGAGTCAGGGAGACTTAGTAAGTATCGTAAGAATCGGCATCATTAGACTATCATATGGCTTCTAGGGGTTATAAATATACTGTACTTACTAAGTCCCTTCAACCCTAAACCCTATCATATGGCTATAGGGGTTATACATATACTTACTAAGCCACTCCAAACGTAAAACCTAAAAATCCCCAAGCCACCAAAAATCTAAACCCCAAACCCTCTACTTACTAAGTGTCCCTTGACCCCCCCCTCCCCCCAAGTACAGTTGCCCATGAGGCCGCATGCCGCAGCCAGAGAAGGCAAGCTGGCAGCTGGCGCTTCTTGGGTCCTTAGCTTTCCCGGGTTTAGGGTGGGTTTAGGGTTTAGTGTTCAAGGTTTAGGGTTTAAGGTTTAGGGTTTAGGGTTAGTACTCGGAGGATCTTTTGACCCATCAGCGCTAAAATGAACCCATCATAGGGGTCTTTGCAGAAAAGCGGAGTTCCGTGTGTGAGGGGTCGCTATCTCACAAAGGGCAATATGGGTTATTCTCAAAATTATGGGTCCCTTTTGGGCTTGGAATTTTCTACGGTACTTTGTATTTGGGGGTACTAAAATTAGGACCCTAATTTTGGGAACTACCCTAACCCCTAAACCCTAAACCACCTTTAATCCCCCTGAGCAAGCTCCTTAATCTGCAGAAGGATGGCTGCGGCTACAGCACGCCCACGAAGCCCTTGGCACCACCAGGCCAGAATGGAAACTCATAGCTTTGCAACCACTGGAAGAATCACTCTTCAGGGGTTTTGGGGGTTTCTGTTCTGAAATTTAGGGTTTGGGCTTGAATTTGGGTATACGCTGTAGGGTTTAGTCTTAGTGTTTACTTTGGGTCCAGGGCTTGGGGTTGAACATGGGATCTTGGGCTCAGGGCTCGATGTCCACCCTTCCCGAAAACAACCATGGCAACCTACATAGGCCCCTTTTGGTGGGAAACTTGTCCTGGTAGGGGCCCAGTTTGGGCTTCCACCCTAAACCCTAAACCCTAAACCCTAGTAGTGTCCAGACTATGGGGTGAAGGTCACCACTTTTGTGGATAAAGCCTTGAAAAGTCGTATGAGCTATGGTCTAAACTCCTTAAAGGGGGATATATAGGGGATTATGAAGGGGACTACTATAGGGGTTATTCAGGGGGATACTAGGAGTTTAGACAATGGCTCATATGGAGGTTTCGGACAACAGGGATGCCTGGGAGCTATACTGAGCAAGATTCAGATGAGCCAGAATCTCAACTTCTGAAAGGGGGTTCTAGAAGGGATCTTATGGGAGATTACTATGAGGGCTGTTAAGGGGGGTACTAGGAGTTTAGACTGTGGGACAGAGAATAACATGCAAGCTCCCTTCTGCGAAGAGCACGAATTGTAGGCAAAGATCTTAGAAGGAAAGTAGAATCTGCCCATACTTTTGGGGGGAGCTAAGGAGCTAGGGATAGTCTATATCAATACAATAAGGGGAGCTAAAGAGCCCAGGAATCTCCAACACCATAGGGGAGGAATAACAGCTGTTTGTCGTTTTTTTCCCACGCGCGAAGGTCAAGCACGTCTTGGCCATTTGGACACGGCAGCTCGTTGGAGATCCGTCGCTTTTTTGTTTGTCCAAGCCTTTAACTTTGGTTCTTGACGCATGCCCGGTCAGACCAACAAACTTTATCTTGTAAGAATTAACCAGACAAATGTCAGAAAGCTAGCTACCATCCTATTTAACCCCCCCCAAACCAACATGCGTGGAATGCAAAAAAGGGCCTTGCGAAGGCTATTGTCCTACAAGAGGCTATACAAGAGAGTTCCATGTTAGTTTGGGGGCAGGGTACAGTATGTTGAAGATGTGAAAGCTTTCCGCTTTGGATAGTCGTCGCTTTCCACTGGTACTGGGTCACCACCTAGCAATGTAGTTCCCTGCCAGGGAATATGCTGCAATTCCTTCCTTGTAGCCAATAGAAGAACTTGAACCTTTTCGGTTATCTATAATACATTTTAAACCTTGTTTAGGATTTAGGGTTAGGGTAAAGGGTTTAACAGTACCACAACCCTAAACCCTTGCCCATGCATAAGCCATCATTTCTCACTCTGTAGATTCTAGGCGTAAACACGAAGACAACCCGCGCCTCCCCAACGCATTGCCAAATCTGGTGTTGGGTTTATTGTTTGTAAGGTTTTGAACTCAGGATTTGGGTTGACTTTAGGGTTTGGGGTTTTCAGCTTGGGGTTTTGCGTTTAGAGCTGGAGGATTTTGAGGTTTATGGCTTGGGCATGGGGGTACAATGATTGCATACTTTGGGGCCCTCTTGACAGCCATCGTGTCTCAAGCTTTGGAAATATCTGTTCATTCTAATTCTACTTTGGGCACTTAGGGCTTCCTACAACAAGAAGTGTTGCAGTATGACCCAAAATCCGCAAACCTAAACCCTATAACCCTAAACCCTATGACCCTAAATCCTAAACCCCAAACGCTAAACCCTACATGCAGAATCCCACTAAGTTGAGAGTACTATGGATGCTCCACGGCTTCTGTCCTCAAGGTTTTACTTGGTGGGTCAGGGGGACTTCGTAAGTAGGTTAATAAGGGGGATAAGTAGGGTTACAATATCGGATATAGGGGTTATCAATCTACTTACTAAGTCCCCCTGACTCTCCAAGTAGGGTTTAGGCTTCAATCCCTGCAAGTTCGTTTCGTACCTTTTTAGAGTCTCCGGTTTAAGGAGTCTAGGTTTCAGGCTTTAGGGCCTTTGGTGAGAAGCCCCTCAGAAACCTGGGTTGCTGTTAAAGAACTTAAACTAAGTTACCATAATGGGTTTAGGGTTTAGAGTTTCGGGTTTAGGGTTTAGGGTTACCATAATGGGTATATATCGTAAATAATAGGGTTTCCCCAACATAGTAACTTAATTTAAGTTCCTTAACAGCAACCCAGCTAGATCAGTTTAGGTCTTGACTCCTCTATCAGCCCGGCAACTATCGCTGGAGACGACTGTACGGCAGCCCAGCATTGTCCCAAACAGTTTGCCTTGGAGGGTCATTTATGGATTGCCCTTCTCCCCCCTTCCATATACTACCCCCTAACGTTCCCCCAGACTTTTAAGCATAGGTTATTTAAGTATCACAAGCACTAGCCTTGATGAAGGCTAGCAAAGAGGTTGCCTAAGGGGGTAGTGTAGGGGTGTAGTAGGAGAATCGATGGGTTAACTTGGAGCCTCATGGGGGCTCTTCTGAGTAGGTTGAATCATGGGTAGAACTGGACGTCTCGATTGGCTTTGAAAACGGGGTTACTGGACTCCCCAATTTCAGTTCTTGCAGAATTTCCGTTACATGATTTCTAGCAACTACCACCCCATTATTCCCTCTTTGGGTTCCCCTCTTAATAAGGGTCACGGCTTAGTATGGCCCTAAACCCTTAACCCTAAACCCAATCTTGTGCGCTCTCTCCTTACAATGACGCTCAGTTCTCAACCCTGGAGGTCTTGATGCCGCGTACTTCTTTAGCGACTTCTGATTCAGAAGGGATGGAAAAGCTTTCATAACCCTAATATAACCCCAATATAACCCCAATATAATCCTAATATAACCCTAGTATAACCCCAATGAAAAGCATGCTTCATATTTACGTCGCTGATACTATAGAGTTTAGAGTCTTGATGGTAGTGGCTTCCTGCGAAGTACGAGTAGCCCTACTCATCTCAATCCCAGCGCCTGGACCCTAGGAATTTGAAACCTGAAGCCCGTTCAAAGCTCTCCAGTCGTCCACACTATGGTTCTGGGTAGACAAACCTAAGCTATAACTAGGTACTATGGTGGGTACTAACAATCATGCATGACCCTAAGTACCCTAAACCTTGGGAATTCTGGTATTCTTGTGTATGAAGGTCATGCAGGAGTTTGGCATTAACGGTATCCCGCAGTCCCTCATAACTATCATTCGCGATAACACCGGTGTCTCATAAGATGCCTGCCTGGCTTTGGTCGTAGGGTTTTGCACGGAGTTTTGAATAGTTAGAAATGCTATACCCTTTGCAGTGGTAAACATTCTGCAGTCATTTGTATTCTCATAAGTTCCCTTACGCTTACCCCTAAACCCGAAACCCCTAAACCCTAAACACCCTCCATCCGATGCCATCCCCGCATACCACGCCGTAGGCTTCCCCTTAAGTAGCATTAATTCGCCTTAACCTACCTAAAGTAACCTTGATCAAAGGGAACCCAAGTGGGTAGGCTAGTAGGGAAACCCATGAATGAGTATCGTCATCGCTCTCCAGAAGTCCAGAACCTGTCTTTGGGTCTCATCTTTGAGTGTAGGCTCTTTCAGCTCTAGGAATGCCCGCACCAGCAATCCCTACTACTATTGACGGACAACTGCCGCACTACCCAACATGCCTCTCAAGTCTATTTGCATGGCATGTGCAAAGCCATGCAGATTTTGTCCATCAAGCCCTATACCTTGAATAAGGCCTGTGCTCTACGTCAAAGTAACTTCGCTCTCCCGAAGAGCGGCATGGAAAACAATGACTAGGACTCCCCATAGTTGACTTGAATTCGCGTCATTATCATTACTTCATCGAGCGGGAACATAATATGGAGGTGCTATAGGTTGGCAGTAGGGAACCCATGGGATGTAGGCTCCTTTGCTAACGGCTGTTCTTTTGGAGCGGGCTTCCATACTGGTTTCTTGCAAGGGGGGGATACCTTAAACCTGAAGCCGATACATCACGGTTTAGGGTATTGGAGAACCCCTAAACCCTACACCCTAAATCCCTGAACCCCTACACCCTACACCCTAAACCCCTAAACCCTACACCCTAAACCCCTAAACCCTACACCCTAAACCCCTAAACCCCACAAATTCTGTTCATCCGGACCGACCCCTTTGAAAAGGTGCGACCCTGCCACGTGATAACAGGATGATTTTGTCGTCTTTCACTTACTGGGGTTAAGGGTTTTGGGTTTAGGGTAAGGAATAAGGCAATTTCAAATATTTCATACAGGGATTATATAAGGATCATTTTTCCTTACTGGGGCTTAGTAAGCTTATAATGAATAAGGCAAATATTTTACAAGGATGATATCATAAAACTGATTTTCCGGTATTCCTTACTAGTCACCAGTAAGTTCAGGTGTTGACCCCTCCGCCTGCTCCCCGACCGGCAGTGGCAACGCTGGCGCGGCATCCCAATGCAGAGTCCGGTTGATGGGTGTTTCCAAAAATCATCCCCGAAACAGTGCCCGTAGGGTTTCTTGACAAGTAATAAGTGATAGCTACGTAGGCATTTTATAGAGATCAACTTTTGGAAGGACATATTCACGTTAGTCGGGCATACGGGAATATGATCCCCACGACATATATAATCCCTATATGACATATTCTGTATTCCCTACTAACCTTCTAGTAATTACGGTATATTTGTGCCAGCGCTGGGCATGGTCAACAACGATGAGGTACAGTCCCACGGAGGGTACAGCACCTGATATAAGGGGTATGCTTTCAATCGTGCTGCACCGCTTGTATTTCCTCAAGAAGGGGGTATTGGGGCCCCCGCGTTTGCGTCGGGCTCCTTTACAATGCCGGCCACGCAGCACTACGCGACACTACTCCCAGGGATTAGAGGAAGGCCAGAAATGGCCCTCGCAAGATGGAGCCCTTTCAACAAAGTACAGCTATGAGATCAGTATATAGACATTTTGCAAACTGTTAATCACAACCTTACCGGCAGTCTACACCACCGGCACAAGGTCACTCCAGATGGTTTACATGGTATGCTACTGGCTTTGCAGATGAACTACGGTGGATACTACAAATCCTGCATGGTCTTAGAGTATACGATAGTACCATTATTCCCAGGGTATAGGGTACTTAACGGCTTGCAGGATTCTTAATATCACCTAAACCCTAAACTCTGAACCCTCAAACCCTAAACCCTAAACCCTATAGGGTTTAGGGTTTAGGGTTTACCCTACTATACTATAGTAGTCTCCATTTTCTTTTCCATTATCCCTAAATTACTTTAGTATCCACTGTAGCTCAACGGTCCCAAACCATCCTGCATCGGACGAGCAGTGAGCTCAAAAATGGATTTCCTGAAAAAGGTGGATTTGATTAAGTTACCGTAGCAAGGAAACCCTATTATTTGCTATTCCTTAGCAGCAATTCAGTAACCCTAAGCCCTAAACCTTTAAGTCCTAAAGCCAGATTTGCAGGCATGCTTTCATCTTTCAGGTTGGAAGTAACAAAACGCTTTTACTGTCATGGTTGAGCAGATGACGTGCGCCCGACTGCTGGTGCATGAGCCCGAAGCCCTCAAGCCCAAACCTTGAATGTGAAACCCCAAAACACCCGCCTAAGTAGTTATCAATGTCATGGGCCTAGCTTCCTGGCTTCCCTGTGCAGTGATCGTAGAGTGTACCTGAAGTAGACTTCAAGTCGGGTATCAGTAACTATTTAGCCTCCCGACATCAAGCCCTAACCTCTGAACCCTGATTCCCAGCTTCGATTTCATGTTCCACTTCATTCTCCGTAATCGGGGGATCATACCCCTACATACCGTAAACCTATAAGCCTAGATAACCGCGCATAACCTTATATCATCCATATATCCCTCTACAACCGTCCCCGAACCCTAAAAAGCTGCGAGCATCAGGTCTCAGAGCCCGAAGCAGAACCGGCAGTGCAATCGGCACAGCAGCCCAGCATTCGGGGCTTCGGGTTCAGGATGTGTCTAGTTTGGGAGTTCAGGGTTTAGGGTTTTTAGGGCTTCGGGTTCAGGATGTTAGGAGTTTAGGGGTTTAAGGTTTAGTGTTTTTAGGGCTTAGGGTTTGGGGTTGGATGTAGCTGGGTCAGGGGAAATTTTTGGGACTTAGGAAGTATGTTAACCACGGGGATAAAAGAGCTTGTCCGGTTTTTTAGTGGTTTAAACTATACATACCAGGTCTTTGGTTGGGAGTGTACATGAAGGAGCTCTGAGCTTTAGGGTTTAGGGTTTAGGGTTAAGGGTATCGGGTTTAGGGTTTAGGGGGTTTAGAGTGTTTCGTTGAGGTTTGAGGGTGTTGGAGTTTAAGGTTTAGGGTTCAGAGTTGGTGGCAAGGCCGGTGTCAAAAGTGGCAGTCCACTTCCTGGGTGCCCAAATGTAATTAATGCCGGCTTTGATTAATAGCCCCCTCTCCCCATCCCCAAACAAACAAAGGAACTAAATAGTCCGGGGACCACCAATCGAATCTTGTTTGGTGGGGGGGGGTCTCGGGCCTTGTCAATTAATGGCCATAGATCAATTCCGGCTCTCAATTTGGCGAACAGAAGTTCGCTCCACTCTGTGCCCATTTCATTAATCCTTTCAGCCAAAAGTTCGCTCTAATACGTCCCAATGTACTACTCCGAAACCAACATTAACACTGGGGAGCTACACCCCAAAAAACCTGGAACAGTACAATCCTGAACCAAAAGAGACACTAAACCCTAAACCCAAATTGGGCGAAAAGTTAGCTCTAGTCTGTACCCAATCCTGAACCAAAATTCCTCAACTCACGGATTCCCTTACCACCCCCTGTACTAACACGCCCTCAGGTTTCCTCTTCAATTAGCTTTAACTATCCTCAAAATCCAGGAGGAACCTTGGGGTAGTATGGGGCGATAGTACATGCGAACCCATGCCCTAAACCCTAAACCTTACCTCACACCCTTTACCCTAAGCCCTAAATCCTAAGCCCTGTACACCCCAAACCCCTACATATCCTAATTCTGGAATTTCCAGGCTCCAATGGAGACGTCTGTGGCAGTTTCGGAGCCGGTGCTGCCAGTGCCGCAGGCAAACCTCGGGTTTGTAGGGTTTAGGGTTTAGGGTTTAGGGATGGAGATCCCTAAGGCTCCAAGTACTCAATAATTAGTTACTTTTGTTTTGGGTAATAGTGATTATGGTACATGTTTTGGGAAAGTAGTAAGTATATGATTATTAGGTACTTGGACCCTTAGGTCTAACCCAGAGGGTCCAAGTACCCAATAATTAGGTACTTGGGTTTTGGGTAAATAGTGAATATGGTACAGTAACGGGGCACTGCTGTGGCTTCTAAGGTGTACGGCTAGCCCTGAACCCCAAACCCTAAACCCTAAACCCCAAACCTTGAACCCTAAGCCCTGAACCCGAAACCCCAAAGGGCTCAGAAGGCACAGATGGTGACGGTGTCTTGTACTTGGACTCAAGGTTGATGACCCCTGCGGCTTTAAGTCTATCAATGGGTCACGGGTTTAGGTTCAAAGTTAAGGCACAAAGTTTGAAGATATGAGCTACGTTGGGCTATTTGGAGCTTGAGGCTTTCGGGTAAGGTTTTAGGGCAAATCGCCGATCGTGAAGATAGGGCTAAGTTGTGTCAGAGGCTTGGAGTTAGAGAGTAGCAGCGCTTTTGTGCGGATAATACCCCTCAACCCAAATCCCAATCCCATGAAGAGCAGCGGTCAGGCGGCTTGAAAAGGGCAGCGTGCTGGGAGGGCTTGTATTTATTCGCGTGCTGCGCGAAAGGGTTTAGGGTTTAGGGTCTGTCCCACTATTGCATGAAAGCATGGACCATAGATCCCTGCATCCAGAGGCAGAAAGAGTCGTTCAATTCAGAGCTACCCTAAGGGTCCAAGTACCCAATATTCGCATACTTATCCAAAACCGGTACTATAATCACTATTACTCAAAACGCAAGAACCGAATTATTGGGTACTTGGACCCTCTGGCTGGGACAGGGCTGTGCAAAAATCTGAAAGGCATTTCCCATAGATTCTTAAATCCCAAAGCTTGTAGGGTTTAGGGTTTACGGCATTTTGTGAAACACTGTTGGCACATAAGCACAAGTCCTACAGCATCATATAGCATCATAATGCTCAACTTGTAAGTTACTTGGGGTCATGCAGGATTGTTAAGTAAAATCCTAAGCCCCAAACCCTTACCCCCTCTATTATGTCCCCGTACAACCAGAAGAAACCCCTACCCCACCCTATGAGGAGTATTTAGTATCCACTAGAACCCTAAACCCTAAACCTTACGGCCTCAACCCTAACTCCTAAACCCTAAGCCCCGAATCCTATACATTAAACCCAAAATCCTAAACCCTGAGGCCCGAATCCTGTACCTTAAACCCTAAATCCAAAACCCTAAACCCTAAACCAACCCTAAAGCCCTGAATCCACACCACTTTTTGCCAGGCTCCGATGCAGACCTCGGCTTCCGTTCCAGAACCTGCGCTACAGGCTGGGACCTGCTGCATTCGTCCGCATAAACGGGCTTTTTGGGGTTTAGGGGTTTAGGGTTTAGGGTTTAGAGTTTAGGGGGTTTAGGTTTTAGGGCTCGTTTGGGAACCCCAAACCAGAAACAGGGAACCACCAGAAAAAAAAAGTGAATAAAAGGAATCTGACGGGTACATTCCTTTTATTTTCTTGGGGTCCCCTGCTTGAGGTCATCGTTAAAGTCCCTTTACAGTAGACTTCGGGTTACCTGTAAAGGGGGTTGTACGGGGTATACAGGGTTCAAGGCTTAGGGTTTCGACTTGTCAGTGCTTTGGGAGTGGGAGAGTGAGTATGGGTGTTATTGTAGGAGCAGTTTCGCGGTTTATATACGGGATTATCATAAAAATCCACTCTGAGTTTGGCACCAGTAAGTAGGCCTATGACCTCTATAAGCCATGCAGGAACTGAAGTTATCCAGAAGTTTGACCTACTGACTAAGTGCCCTTGACCCCCACAAATATGCTGAAGGGATCCAATTTCTTGGAAAAACCCTAAACCCGGTCATGAGGAATCTTGGCTCCTTTGACCTCCAGAATCAGGATCGAATTTTGGGGGGAAGTACCCAGGGAGCCCAACATAGCATGATTCAGGAATATACCTTAAGTCATATTAAGGGTCCTAGTATAATTGAAGGTAGATTCCTCAATACCCTAAACCCTAAACCTGTATTAGGCTCTCTGGGTTGAATTGGAAATGTCATTCGGCTTCTGCCCCAGCGCACATGGGCAGCTGCTTCCAGGCCCCCATGGATACATCGGAGGCTACGGTTGCTGTGCCAGCGCCGGAGATACAGGCTGGCTTGACGGACTTGGGAACTGGGGCAGAGGCGGAAGTTTCGTGGGGTTTGGAGTTTAGGATTTAGAGTTTAAGGTTTGGGGTTAAACCCCAAGCTTGAAATTTCGCGGTTTAGGGACCAGGGAGTGGTAGACGAGGGTCTGGGATCTAACTTGGGCTTAGGAATTTCAATGTCCAGCTGCAGACGGGTTCATGACGAGGGGGTTAGTAGGGAATAAGGGTATTGCATGGGAATAGGATCAAATTCGCTTATTCCATACTAACCGCCAGAAAGGTCCTGGCTGATGGGCTGAAATGTGCTGGGACGTTCCGGGTTAAAGGGCCGGCTCGGCTAAAGAGGGGAATGCCCTAAACAAGAGCAAAACCCTGAACTTTGAATACACGCCTCCTTGAAGGCCCAAGCCCTAAATCCTAAAACCGTAAGATTCCTACCACCCAGGCCTACACTCGAAGCACCCTCTTTAGAGTTTGTGGTTCCGGGTTTAGGGTTTCTGGTTACGAGCGCTTCCAAGCGTCGACGCATGCAAGCCTGTTGCAAAAAGGGTTTGTGGTTTCAAGGTTTAGGGTTCAAGGTCTAGGGTTTTGCGGAAAGGAGCCCAACTATCCACAAATAGGACTTACAAGGATGCCTTCTTGACGGTTGCGCACCACCCCTAGATCCAAAATCCTGAGCCCTAAGCCATATATAGACACACATCTATTTTTATATGTGCGCACACATAATTTCATAATCCCTTTACGTATGACTCATCCCCCAACCATAAACCCTAATCCCTACACCCTAATTCCTAAATCCTCAACCCTAAACCCTGATCCCTAAACCCCTTAATCCTCAATCCCTAAGCCCCTTTATCCTATATGTCCCTTTGAGCTCCGTCTTGCCAGGAGGAGCCTCTGCCAGAAGCTTTCCACGTAGAGCACCAGGATTGCTGTAGGGTTTCGTATAGGATGTAGGATTAGGGTTTAGGATTCAGGATGTATGTTTAGGGTTTAGGATGTAGGTTTAGGGCTTAGGATGTAGGATGTAGGTTTAGGATTTAGGGTTCAGATGATTTACGCGCCTTTGAGTTTAGGATCTAGGGCTTAGGATGTATGCCCCCCCTTTAAGTAGATACAATGTGGTGTATATAGGGATCTTATGATGATATTGGCCAGTTCCATGTTCTACTTACGGGGGACGATATGGGTTTAGTGCCTGGGCTTTAGGATTTAAGGTTTAGGATTGGATTTTAGGATGCAGAGTTGAGGGTGTGTAGGGAGTCTTTGGGGCCTCAGGTGTAGAGGCCAGACGCAAGAATTTGGCCCTTAGCTTTCCTGGAGGTCCGAGTTTTTAAATGGTGAACATATGAGCTACGGACTAAATTTAGGTTGGGGAGGACCTATAGGGGACTATACAGGATTTTGGGGGGACCTATGAAGGGATATAGTACAAATGTACTCCAAGGCTCATATTATTGGTGGCCCAAATGCGTTCGTGCAAAGATGCCTCGGCATGAGGTATTGGGAATGCCTGGAATTCAAGCGTGGGGTCTACTGCGTTCTTGTACCCCAGGGTTTCGGTTTGAAGGGTTCAGGTTCAGGGTCTAAACCCTAAACCCTAAACCCAGGGTCCCATGGGTTGCTATGAAGGAATTTAAGCGAAGCTACCATAGTGCATCACAAGACGCAGAAGGAATGGAAAATGACAGGCGAACTGGGGTCATAGATGCGTTGTACAGGGGGTTAGGGACGGCTAAAGGAACTTGAGCAAAGTTGCCATAGTGGATTCGGGTTTAGGGTTTAGGGTTTAGTGGATGATCAAATAGAGAAGAAAATACAGATGGCACGGAAACTTAATCTGAGTTACCATACCAAGGGCACCACATAAATTTGATTTATGACCCATATTCCGGTGACTTAGGTTAAGTTCCTCAGCAGCATCCCGGTCTAACTAGTGTCAACACCCCAGGTCCAATCCTAGAAGGGCACTTCTTCATAGTTTGCACCCTCCCCAAAACCAAAACAAATCCCGGCATAGCTCACTTTGAAAGGGCAGAAGCCTATTTGGCGCCCCTGATTGGGCTTGAGGTTACCTACTTGGAGGATCTGTTGACTTAGTAAGTCTACCTATTATCCCTAATAACCCCTATTATTCGCCCAATAACCCAAGCTACTAAGTAGACTTACTCAGTCAAGGGATCGTCCAAGCAGGGGGGTAGTGTTGCATCGCTGGAAACTCCAATCCCCCGGGCTGCTCAAACCCTACACAAGCTATATGATCCCCTATAATGGTGAATCGAATGGAAAAGAACATGGAACATGAAATGGAAACCGAAGTTACCATGATGGGTATACATAGTAATTAAAAGGGTTTCCCCAATCTAGTAACTTAAATTAGGTTCCTTCGCAGCAACCCAGTAAACCGTGGTCGTAAGCATGGGACCCTTTTGGACCAGCGAGAATAATGGTCTCCCCTGTAGTTTCCTTCTAGGTTTCCCCTAAATTAACCTTAGTTAGCCTTAGCATGCCTTTCCCATCCCTACATAACATTAATTACTGGCTCCCCTATAATTAGTATCCCCCTAGGTTCCCCCTTAATTAACCTCATAAATTAGCTCTAGTTGTCCCTAGACAACCCTATCTAAAGGGGAGCCTTACCATGTGTGGCTATAAAGCGAGGGGGGGGGCCCTACCCTAAACCCGGGGCGGGTGGGGGGGGAGGGGGTAGGGGGGAGGGGGTGGCGGGTAGCAGGGGAATCATGACAGGAACTTGGTTTTGTCCGCAAGGCTTACTCTTCAAAAAGGGTTGAGGATTTGGGGTTTAGGGTTTAGGCATGAAGGAGCTGACCTCATTTGCATCGGGTTCCAGGCTGCAGTTCTTATATGTATACAATGATAAGAAGGGTCGAGTTTGGGTACTGCCCCCAGTCTATAACAGTTGGAGGATAAGTTTGATATAGGTATATATAGAGCCCTCAGTATGACAGCTAATGAGGAAGACGGTTACAGGATAGGGACAGTACCCACGGTAGAGTTCCGAGCTTCTCAGGTTTGTATAGTACCCTAAACCCTAAACCCAAAACCCAGGTTTGTACAGTACCTAGATGTTGCAGGGACACGGCAGGCTGGCACTGCAGAGCGTATATTTGGTTCTCACGGTTTAGGGTTTAGCGTTTAGGGTTGAAGTTCTCAGTCAAATTAAGATGAATAGCGGGTGAGCCGCCCCACGCAGACCTTCAAACCTAACCTGCTTTTGGAATCACTTCCTGACGGTATGGCATGTGCAAAAACCTAGGGTGTTCTTCAGTCTCAGAAGACAGACGGATTCTCACTGGAATTGGTTCCTGCGCTGTTCCTGCGCTGTTGCGTCGCTTTACGTGGCTTTGTCCAGAACTACATTGGCAAATGAAGCGGCCCAGCCCTAATCCTCCATCCGTCATATCCCTACAAGTGAAGAAAGCATTCTGAGGCCTGAAGCCATGCAGTTAAGCATTCTACGGCCTCTAGGCTTAGACGCTGAGAGTTCAAGGTAGTAGGCTCTCCAGTTTACAGCCGGACACAATTTTCGGGAAATGCCTGAGTTCAAATGCAGAGATGGGTCTTGGGTATAGGGCTTCACCCCCGCTAGGCCTAAGCCTCAAACCTCCCAGGACCTCGCACAGCAACAGACGCAGATGTCAGGCAGGATCCGCGGATTATGACGGGATTCTTTTGCGTCTCCCATTTCCCTATTCTTCTCATTCATTTTAGTATGTTCATCAGGAGTTATCAAAAACGACGCCTTTCTTCCAGGGGAATACAACGGTGAATTATCTCAACCATACGCTCGGTTTGGGGTTTACTGTAGTTGCTCAGCAAGGGGAATCCAAAACCTCTCAGCTGCAAATAGCACCCAAGCCATAGTTGGGCGGTTTATAGGCTATAGGATCTGTAAGGTTTAGGGTTCTCACAGGCACAGGAGCTACTCCCTAAACCCTAATCCCTCAACCCTAGATCCCTAAACCCTAATCCCTAGAAACTAAACCTTAAACCCTAAACCTTACACCCTTAACCCCTAAACCCTAAACTATGTATGACTTGGGCTTCTTCCCTACGGAGAACTACAACACCTGCCTTTTTCTGGGATGAGTAGGCTCAGAACCCAAGGTTTAGGGTCTAGGATTTGGCTAATATCAGGGGTCCTTTTTGGGAGAGCTACCCATGATAAAATTCATTTTATTTCTATGTTAGGTTCCACTTTGGGTCCGCCCCATACTTGTGGAAATTGCCAATTCAAACGTAGTCGCTAAGTCCCATCTATGCGCAACTGCTTGACCCCCCTCTCTCTCCCACGCTACAAGTACAGACCCTTCGCCCAAAAGGTTAAACATATTACTGTACCTGAATTAACCTGGACACTGTGAACCTGAGAAGAGGGCAAAGAGGATTAGGGTTTAGGGCGAATGATTGGTTACAAAATCTTGTCCATGGATACATCAGATACCCTTAGCAATACTAAACCTTAAAACCATTACATGTCAACCCCAGACGCGAAACCTTGTCCATTTGATTTTGCCATTATCCCTAAACTCTAAATGCCCAAACCTTAGATCCCAAAGACTTATCCGTAAACCCCTAAACCCTAAACCCTGAACCTGGTATATGCCAACCCTTGGGCCTACTCCTGAAACCCGGGCTCTGCTAGGGCGCCAGCGCAGCCGCAGCCGCGATAGCGGCAAAAAAGACGTGCGTAGCCCCGAGATGGCCAAGGAGCGTTTTGCACATGGTTCAGTTTAGAGTTTAGGGGTTTAGGGT